TAATTAAAAATGGTAAATATTTAAATTATTTCATGAAAAATTATAAATTAAACAAATCTATTTTTAAAAAAGTTTTACAAAATAATAGATTCCTATACCTAATTAAAATCAGAAATTTTATTGTTTGTTTGCAATAAGGAGCTATTTTTAGTTAATATGTTTGATTCAACTGTTTATCGCAATTATTATTCTGATTAACTAATGTTATTTGACTTTTATATATATATGTGCAACTATGTTCAATTTTTCTTCATATTTATAGTTAATATTTACATTTTTATTATTTATTTATTAGTTTTAATAATTTTACAATTGATTTAAACTAGCTTAATTTTTTTTTTTAACTTAAAGTATTTTTTTAAGATAGAGCCTGATTATTTTACAAACCTTAAATATTAAACTAACTGTTTTGATTTTATATGCAATCTTATTATTTATTTTATTATTGTAAATAAACTTTAGTATATTTCTAAGAATGTAATTTGCTAATTTTACTCTTAATAAATGTTTCTATTTTATCTACTGTTATTAATTAATCATCTCATTTTAATTATTATTCAGTTATTTGCGTATTATTATAATAACTTTCTATTGTATTAAATTAAACTTTATTTAATGGTATTTTTATTTATGTTTTCTCTTCTAATTATTGAGATTATATATATTTTTAAATCTAAGAACCGTAAAATTGATTTATTATGTATTGATTTCATTATTTAACTAAATATTTTGATATTTTATTTAATCTAAGTCATGTAAATCAAATTACTAATTAAATATGCAAAATTCTTTATTTTTATAAATTTCAGACAAAGAATTTTTAAAATAATAAATTAAATATATATATATATATATATATATTTATATATATATATCTTTACAAATCCATTTGCCTTAAATATTTTATATGCAAATATAATCTCCAACATTATTTACTGCCTCAGATAAATTATACATGTTTAATAAATGATTTTTAATTGGCTTTTATTATTAATTATATTCTAATATTATTGTCTTATCATTTATGATAAAAGGATGATTATTTGAGTAAGGGAAATTATCATCATATTTTATTACAGATGAAGGATATTGTAAATAATTTACATAGTATTATAGAGATTCTTAGATTTTATCTATATTTATATTATCATAGTATAAATTTGAAAATAGTTTTAAATATTTTGCTTTTAAAACCTTATATGTTGTTTTTTGAGCAAAAACTATATTTAGAATATTTATAGGATTTTCGTTTGAAATCTAAAACGCATTCAAAGATTACACTATGATTTTCATTATTTACATATATTATATATCTAATTATGAGTTTTATTTATTATGAAACGATTCTCTATTAACTTATTATATATTTTAAATTATTTATGCTTATGATATGATAATTTATACTGATTAAAAATAATTTTCATATTATGTCATGTCAGAAATTACTATATTTTTAATTATCTTTTATTAATCCGTTACTATTTACTCAACATTATTAATAATTTATTGGATTTTGTCAAATCCTAATTATGATGCTATTTAATTGAGAAAGTTAGAAAATATTAAATTTAATGTTATTTAAGTCTATATAAAATATTACTTGTTATTAGATTTTTTAAATTTTACTAACATTTTTAATGAAAATCAATCTAAATTTATGTGAATTAATTTAATTTATAAATTATTAAAATAATAACCAAAATCTATAATTAAAGATAATAAGTCATCGCTAAACTATATTTTATTCATTATAGTTAAGCATGAATCACATTATATATTTAAATTTAATTAAAAATAATAAGGAGTTAGACACGTAAGACATTCATTAGCACTGCATGTAGCACATCCACTTGAAAAAGCAGAACACATAGTGCAGGCTTAATTGAAATCTTTAGGATCATAAGAATATTAAGGACAAACACATTATTAAGGAACTCTATTTTAAAAGCAAGTATCACAACTAATGTCATTAGAACAAGTTTCACATTTAGCTAAGCAAGCTATACATTATCTATTTATTGTATTTTTCCATTTTCCTGGAGGACAATCATTTACACATGAATTTTCATCTAAAAAACGTAACGGTAAACATTCATGGCAAATATTATTATCACAAGTAGAACATCCAAAAGATATATTAGAACAAGCAAAACAAGCTTATTAGTAATTTAAGTTATCGTAATTATGAGCAAGACATCCACAATCAGGTGGTACTCTATTCTGAAAGCAAGTGTCACAATCGGTTGCATTAGAACAAGTTAAACATTTAGCTAAACAAGGTATACATTATCTATTTGTCATATTTTTCCATTTACCTGGAGGACAAACAGTTACACATGAACTTTCATCTAAAAAACGTGGCGGTAAGCATGCATGGCAAATATTATTATCACAAGTAGAACATCCAAAAGATATATTAGAACATGCAAAACAAGCTTATTAGTAATTCAAGTTATCGTAATTATGAGCAAGACATCCACAATTAGGTAGTTCTCTGTTCTCAAAGCAAGTGTCACAATCAGTCGCATTTGAACAAGTTGCGCATTTAAAATTACAATCATTGCAAGTTCTAGTTATAGAATCTTTAAATTTATTATTTGGACAAATCAAAATACATTCAGGATCATTATAAAGATATCCAATTTTGCACAAATCACAGGAATTTCTTTTTGAACATTATTCGCAGTTTGCAATACAATTGAAACACCTACCTGCTTCTAAATACTAACCTACTTAACATTCATTACAAGAATATTCGTTATCGCATCCAACGCATTCAGACATGCATTCATTAGCATAAATTTCAAATTCATTTATACCTAAAGATTAATAATAAGGAGCTTTATCCAAGTTATTAATAAATGTAATTAAAACATTTTAACTATTAGTATAAACACTATAATAAGATTTTGATATTGAATCATAATCTGGTAATCCACACAAATTAATTTCTGAGAATTGTTTTTTAACTGTATGCATATTACTTCCATCTACTAATGTAGTAAATTCATAAGAATAATTCCATTTATCAATCAATACATAATTTACTTGTATTGTATAACCATGTAAAGGTTTAGTTGATTAAACATTAATACTTATAATGCAATTTTTTCCGCATATATTATATCCACCTAGAATAGTATATTTACCACAGAAGAAGCATAAT